CGAAACCACTCTTTCGATATTTTGGCCGTGTGGCAAGGAGCAGAATCCTGCTGAAAAATAAACGAAGCAATATTGGGAAAGAGATCTCTGAGGTAAGGTAGAAGTTTTGGTTCTAGAATAGTGTCAATGTATTTTCTGGCATTCAGTGTCCCATCGATGACATGAAGGCGACCGATACCATCTGCTGATATGCATGACCAAATCATAACACTAACTGGGTTCTTCACAGTTGCTCGAATGCAGTCAGGATGTAGCTCTTCTCCTATTCTACGTCTTACATATTTTCGCCCATCACTACCGAATAACGATATCTTAGTTTCATCACTCCATATAACTTGTGAACACTGATCATCTGTCCAATTAATGTGTTCCTTTGCCCACTGTAGTTTTTTTTTTCGTTGCTGAAAATTAAGACAAGGCTTTTATCGTGGAATTCTACCTCTCAGTCCAATACCTGTTAATCTTCTGATTGTTCTTGAACTGACAGACAAATGCAATTCTGTGCACAGAAGTAGGTTTTTTTTTTTTTTTTTTTAAATATATGTATAAGTTAGCTAGTGCAGCTAATGTATTAAATCTTGAATAATTCTGAATTAAGACGTTGCGAACCCTGGTGATTGTTAGTGCATGTGCCGATGTAATAGTGTGTGATCCAGTGAAATAAATTGCGCTTGAGGTGCAAGAAATGTCTTCAGAAAAAAGTGAGGAAGACATTATCATTCCTTCTACCGGCCAGGAAGCGTAACACGTTTTAGACACTTTAGAACGTGTATGGTTACTATTATTTTGCATTAACCATCTATTTATATTTCAGCCTTTACTATCACTTCTTCTTCCACTCGAATATGGGCATCTGGTTTGTTTTATTATCTATTTCAATGTTTTGCAAACTTTTAAGGAATTTTTTATTAAGAAACTCATTGATTTCAAAGCGAGTAATGGCAACACTGTGCGAGGAAAGAAAAAAATTATCACCAGCGCGAGACTGTGTATCGTTGGAAATTCTAAAGATATGCTGTCTTTAAATATTTTGCGATATTGCTGTTGAAATTAATTTTATTGTTTAAGTGCAAAGAACATGATATTTAATAAACAAAGGTTTTACATTTACACACGGAACGTTAAAAAAAAAAAAAAAAAGTCCCTTTCTGCATAAAATAAATCTGAAAGTTTTCTGACTTTTATTAGCCTAAAAGACGTAAGCCCAGAAGGGCTCTTAATTTCGTTTTGGCATTTTGCGTTGAAAATTTAAAATGGGATTTCACCTTTTTAAACTGTTGCTACCAAATATTACAGACCTGTATTATATTTAACGAAATTAAATAATGAAAAATCTGAATAAATGTAGGTATGTATCTCGTATTGTGATAAAATGACAGTTCCTAGAGCCCTCCAATTTTTAATAACGTACGGTTCCACCCGAATATGGGAATTTACCGAAATATGGGTTTTATTATCTATTTCATATTTTGTAAAAATTTCCTTGCTTTTTTAATTTTGCACATAAAATGCATGAACGCATACACTACTTGCTATTATTTGATTTGAATTCGTTCCAACATTATCTGCTACATACAGACTTTTGAATAAAATGACATAATCGATTGACCACACAAACTTAAGATTCTTAAAAGTAGATGAATACAGGACCAAAAATGCTTCTTAGCCATACTTAGATGTCGTCTCTCGAGGTGAACCAAAATTATATGACCAGTTTCGTACACATACTCTTATACATAAAGTCTACTTTATGAATTAAAGTAATTTTTCACTTATCTTTCGTTTTTTAGCAGTCAGTCATCCTTTTCTCCACAAATTCATTCTATTTTGGGTGTATTACGGTCTTTTAGCCAGGATTCATCAGAGTAGTTGAGAGCTTATACTGGTCTCCTCGACTCTTCCATTTCTCCTCGATTCTTCCATTTCTCCTCGACTCTTCCATTTCTCAATTCGGTCTCTGACTCTCGTCTGCTTCCATTGAGTTTCCTTTAATCGTAATATTTCCGTAATAATTTCGTTATCGCATTTTGCGTTGGATCATTCTAAATGTCGGTTCACGTACTAAATTGTTGCCATCAAATATTATCGACGTATGTTATGTTTAAAGAAATTAAATAACGAAGAATCTGCATCAATGTATGCATGCTTCTCGCATTGTGATAAAACTACCGTACCTAGAGCCATCCAATTTTGAATAACGCAATCCTCCACCGAATTTTAGGCATCGGGAAGCCCTAATTTGAAATTTGGAAATTGCTTTATGATCGATTTCCTATTTTGTAACACTTTAACGAAGTTTTGATTAACAAACTCAACGATTTCAAAGCGACACTGTACGGGGGGGGGATTATTTCCATCGCGCCAGTCTATGTATCGGAAATTCTAAAGATAGGCTCACTTTAAAAATACAGGGTGTTTATAAAGTCCCGGACCCATTTTGATGTTTAATAAATACTCATAAATATAATAAGATAGATTAAAATTAATAACATAAATGGTTAGATAGACTCAAAAAGTTCAAAAAAGTTTCATAACCCTTGTCAATGAACTTCCACGTGTGCCCCCTTCGTCGCACGGAGAATATCAAGTCGATATTCAATTTCACGCCAGGTACCGGCAAGCATGTCGGCATTCACAGAGGCTAATTGCGGTTGAAATTCTGGCTTTTACGCCATCCATGTTCGACACTCTCCTCCTATAAACGTTGTCCTTTACAAATCTCCAGAGGAAAAAGTCCAGCGGCGTTATATCAGGTGATCTGGGTGGCCAAGGAATTGGACTTCCTCGCCCGATCCATCTTTCTCTAAAATGGTCATTCAAAGAACTACGAACGATGGTACCCCCCCCCCGACCCCAATGAGGTTGGTGCACCATCTTGTTGCAAAAAGACATGTGGCGGCTGAAGCTCTTCTAGCTGTGGAAATACGAAGTTTTCCAACATGTCTAAGTATACGACTGATGAGACCGTCTTTTCTGTCAAAAGGAAAGGCCCAATGACTCGGTCGTGCATTAGTCCACACCACACATTAACCTTTGGGGAATCCCTTTGTGCCTCACGGTATTCACGGGGGTTTTCAGATCCCCATATGCGCACATTATGGCGATTAACAATGCCAAAAAGATGTCAAAAGCAAAAGAGAGAAAAATGCAATTAATAAGCAGACTATATTTAGAATAGTACAGATATTTAGACTGGAAAATGAAATTATCCGAAATTAACCACACGCGCAGACGCTATTTACAAAAGTAAAGATATTCAAACTTGAAACGGAAAATATATAAAGTTATTCCATCAATAAATGCCATAAATTTGTTTATATCTTCATTATTTTATGAGTTATTAAACATCAAAATGGGTCCGGGTCTTTATAAACACCCTGCATTTCGCGATATTGCTGTTTGAAGGCTCAGGTGAGGTGCACGTTTTGTCAAACTCCTGGGCTGAAAAGCCTCATCCTGCGTATAATGCCGTAAGCAGTGGCATGGCTTCCCTAACATAACATGATGAAGTTCTTAAATGAGAATAATCTCGTGACGAGCATTGATGAGCCTTGCGCATATACGTATCTTCGAGTCAGTTACTTCCGTCGTCTGGACATGTTTCAATCAATAATGCCATGGTAAATGTCGCAATTGCTGTTGAACTGAGTCTTATGGTTTAAGGGGACTCATACACCTTAAAACCCGCAAGATCTTCGAATATGTGACTGTTGCAAGATTGGGGATAACTTATTTATTTTAAATGCAATTACTTCCAACGTTTTACAGCTGACTACATAATATAGCTACTTTCTGAAATTGCAATCAGAAAGTTTGTGTTGCCACAAATATTTTTATAATTTAATCCGCTTTGTGACAAAAATTTTCGCCATGTTTCCACCTTGCGCGCACAGTTTAAAACAATCTGTTGCATAATTTAATTCCATATTTAATATATAACTTTTATAACATTTGGAAACTACTGTGAACCTAAAATTCTAAAAATTCATGCTAAATTTTTATTTTATTTCGAGTTGAGTTTATAAAATGGATTTTATTAAAAAAATCTATAATATTTTCGTCCATAAAATTTTTCAATATTAAAATATTCATCAGATTTTTGGTTCAGTTAGAAAATAGTGCCCATATAAAGAATTCCTTCAAATTTCAATTATGTACCATTAGCAATTTTTAAAATATCATGCGCGCAAGGTGGAAACATGGCGAAATATTTTGTCACAAAGAGGATTAAATTACAAAAATATTGTGGCAACACAAACTTTCTGGTTACTAGTTTCCAAAGCAGCTATATTATGTAGTCAGCTGTAAAAGGTTGGAAGAAATTGCTTTTAAAATAAATAAAAATATCCCAATTCTTGCAACAGTCGCATATTCGAAGTTCATAAAGGGTTTAAGGTGTACGAGCCCCCTTAAGTGCGAAGAACGTGATATTTAATAAATAAAGGTAACCCACAAAACATTTAGAAAACGCCCCTTTGGGTGTAGTATAAAATTAGAATCTTTCAGACTTTTTTTCTGATTTTTTTAATTTAAATTTTAATTAATTTATTTATTTATTTGTGTGTATGCGTATGTATGTACTGACTGTATCTGCGTATCGTAAATGGCTTAATGTGCAACAGACACTTTTCCAAATATAAAATTTGAGCCGCAGTTAACAGGGACTGTTGACTTTTCGGTCCCTTTGGATTCATGTTAACGAGGGTTTACTCTGCCTTTTATACGAAGTTTTCGACTGCTTGAATTAATTTTTACTGCCAAAAGAGGGAATCGTGCTTTCCATTTAGGCTATTGAAATTTAGACTATTTTGTCTAAATTCAATCTATTCCATTTAGACTATTTTGTCTATTGAAATAATCCCAGTGACATTAAAGAAGATAGCATTACCCAGTGACATTAAAGAGTATAGTTTTGAGTACGAAAAATGAAAAGAAATATTCAGATATTTTATAAAGTATTGTCTCATCTTATACATTTAATGTTCCTTTTATATTTTCAGCTTAGACCTGGAATTTTTATGAACCTGTTATGTGTGACAGTGGAAGTTTTGATGATCAGTACGTACGGTAAAGTCATCTTCCATTTCGAAGATCTTCCATCTTGGGCCAACCATACAGTAACTGGTGTCAGCTAGTTCAGAGAGAACAGCAAATTTTTGGCATTTTTTTCTCAAAGTGATCCAGTCGACTTGCTGTCTTTGAATTGTCACCAGTGAATTTTGACAGAATGGATTCACCGGACTTAATGAAAGACAGGAATGACTGTATTAAAGAAAGAACGTGACCATTGATGTCTTCCAACTGGAAATTTGACGGGTCGTTTTCATTATAGTATTTTTCACAATACTAAAAGATTTTGAGTGTTCAAGAATTAACGCGACGAAACAATTTCATGTCGGTTTACGTATAATATTTGTTTAGTTTCCAACTATTTCATAAGAGGAAAGACTGAATTCTGAGTATGATTATACTGCTAAAAGTTACATATATTTACAACGTCATTCTTGTATACCTTAATTTTTAGCTACGCATATGAATTCTAAAATAATACACAAGGCCACAGTTCGTGAAAAAAAAAACAGAAATCATTTACTGGTGCGTTGACTATTGCATTTAAAGCTATTACTTGATAAAACAGGAAAAAAGTCACTAATTATTTCTTTATGTACATTGTTTGTGCATCGTGATAATAAATCTCATGTTAGAGTTCTTTTATGGACTATTCAATTACCTACGGAAGAATGTCATAATGAAAGCGTAAAAACGAGTAAATATTCCATTCAAACATATAGAAAGCTGAAAGAACAATGTGATATATTACTTCCATACATTTTAAATTCATAACTTATTTAAAAGCTCAAAATTAATTCCCCTCGATTAATTACAAATATGTTTGTTTTAATGTATTACTCGAGTCATATATCGATAAATGCGATTTTTTTTTTGGGGTCTCGATAAAGGAGGCTGATATTTTTCTTAAAATTATGCAATTTTTGGCAAAATGATAATAGACTCATTCATAAAACTATCGATTTCTTAAATAATTTAGATTAATATTCTCACGCACAGTTATTATTTTCGTATATGGTATGTTTAAATATCCACCTCTAGGGACAGTTTGCATTAGGCATAGTAAAAATATTTCATGTACAGTAAACTTTCTTATATTATTATCCGATAAATATATCAATAAATTCAATAGCCCTTCTCTTACACAAGAAAAAATAATTTATCCTTATATATATATAAGTACTCTAAAATTTAGAAGTTCTAAATTTCCAAGTTCCACGGGTAGACTATATCTCAAAGTTTTTACAAAATTATTCCCATATTTTCCATCTTCTGTGTAAAATTAATTTATTCTTTCTAAGCGGTTAGGAAATATAATTAAAAACAAAAGTGTAGCATTATAAAATGGGAAAATGAAAATGAATGTATATTATAGACAGATTTTTTTTAACTGAAAAAATAAATTGTATTTATATATTTTTAAACGTTGTGTTTTAATAAACATATTTTGTAAAGCATTTGCATAAAAAGCAATTTAGCGAAATTAATTTTATGCTAAAATTTTAATTATTATTATTTCATAGCTTAAACAGTATAATATTTTTCACTTTTTAACATAGTATTTGTTTTATTAACTAGGATGATGATAATGTGTTATGCATAACAATAGAAATTTTTTACTGAAACTTTTGCCTTTTACATGTTATGCTTATTTATTATTGAAACTGTCAAATAAAATATGTGCATCCTGTTGTACAAACATATATGTGATGTTTGTATTTTTGTAATGAAATATCTGGACAATTCGAATATCGTAATAAATTACTCATACAAATTTTATATAGCAATTTAGCTATGATTTGAAAAGTTATTTTTTATAATGTTCCCATAACGTCTAAAATTTCAATATAACCGTCATAAACAGCATTCTAGAAATCGTTAAATTTTTATACATTACTTCAAATTATTCTTTTAAAGATTTTATTCTTTATAATTTTTGATTTATCACGAAACACATATTTACAAACGTTTTACCATACTTTTTAAAAGCATTTAAACAAAGGTTTTCTGTGGATGCTGACACGATATTTCTCAAAATGCTAAAAAAGATTATTATTCTGCAATTCAGATATTCCCTTGAATGTATTGCAACTTTTTGGTCTGCATAATTGCCCCCCTTTTTTTTTTCTTAAGTTATCCCAACCTCTGGATAGACAGCGCTGCACGGTTCTCCTAAGCGCGCAGGTTAATTTCTGAATCTGGCAACATAAAGAATGAAATGTTTATATTTATAACAGTTGGATGTATAATAATAAAAATAGAATGTGTATATAAATGCAATAAAAGAAATCAATGAGCGAATTTTAAATAATTATTAATTTAATATTTATAATAAAATAAAATGAAACTATGAATAAAAAAAATTTAGATGCTTGCAAAAGTTTATCGGAATTTATATATATTTGTTTAATTACGAATGAAAAACCAAATTATTGCTTTCCCCATTTTTCCGAGTATTAGCCATATTTTTACCAAGTTGTTCTTAACAATTCTTCTCTCTCTACTTCTTTCAGTCTTGTCTTTTACGTCTATTAATTATACAGTTTCTATACTTTTTTAAATCTTTTCTATCAAATATTGGCGGATACCATTTTCCATTCCCAGATTATTTCACAGATAATCCAGCTTGTTTATTTAATAGTCATTTTTATTAAAATTATTTTATTGAAATAACAAAAGTGGAATAGGTGTATTACGCACGGTTCTATATCTGCCTAAAACAAAAAATGAGGTTATGTTGTTACATTTGTAAAGCTCTATTAAAAAAAAAAAAAAAAAAAAAAAAAAAAAGAAAGAAAGAAACCTAAGAAACTTGCAGTAACATCTTGGTTATAAGCAATCTGATGGTACTTCTGCAAGCATTTAATTAAAAGGATATATCTTTAATTTTTCTTGCTTCTTTGTTCTTTTACCAGTTTATTTTCATTGATTATAAACAACATGCTAATCTTACAGATTTTCTCCCAATTTCAATTTTTATTGTTGCCGCTCGCTACATTCATCTTAATGCATGTCAGTTAAATCCTTCTTTCCTCTGACAATGCTGAAATTGTACTGATAGTGTTTGATATTTAATGACATAATTCAGTAACAGGAAAGTATATGAACTACCATAAGAAAAACGAAAAGTGAATGCTAATGCTCAGATATATTTTTTGCATTTTTATTTTCTAAAAATATTTACAATCATATTTGCATTACTGAAAAAAAAAAAAAAAAAAAAAAAAAAATTCTTTAATCTAAAGAATATTTTATATTTCTTTTGTATAGACAAAGCAGGACTATTTAAACACCTTATTTTAGATATTTTATAGATTATTTCTGTGTATATTAATAAAAGAAAAATGGATTATTATCAAAAGTAGTTAATAACCTGCAAAGAAATTCCAAGAACCAAATTAACTTTTTTCTGATTGAAGGAAATTTGGATTTTAAAAACAATATTACTTATCTTACAATTTGAAATAGTCTGCGTCCTTAAATAAATCCTCCGATTTATGCTTAAATACTTTAAGAGCAACCAGAATAAATGTTGAGATTTTGTTTTTAAAATTGGCAACAGTAGTGCAGTTTAAAAAAAATAAACATTTGACATCTGCTATAATTCTTTTAGTATCGTCTGTATTTCGATCCAGATAGGCAGTGTTTTTATAGCTACGTTTTGTTTTCGTGTTCATCATAGGAATTGTGAAAATAAAAGTGTTTTCTACAAAAAATTAGTCTTCAAGTACTGTTTGATGAATTCCTCCCGGGATTTCGATCCTTTGGAAAGAAAAGAAGTAAGAGAAACCATTTTTCTTAATTTTGAATTTTAAACTTAAATTTTCGAACTTTTTTTTATGAAAACTTTAGTTATATAATTTGAATACCAGAAAACATTTTATTTTTACCGCGTAATTTTAAACTCAGAATAAACGGCCATTACTTATGTATCAACCCAATAAATGGGGAAGAAAAGTAATGTTTTAATTTTAACATTACTTTTCTCCCCCATTTATCCAAGAATTATTTTAATTTTATTAATTGGAAAAATATTGTTGAGAAACTAATTTAAAATCTCAGTTTGTTCTTTGCTTTACCAGTTTCTTCTTGTGATGTAAACCCTTTTCTTTTTAACATCAAAGTTCTGTGACGATGAATTGTTATACTGTCTAATGTATTTTATTATCTATTTTTGTGGACGTTTCCATCACGCTTCGTTTGTAAATCTTGCTTCATAAATAAACATATTTATTTTTCCTAAGTTTTTTAATTTTATATTTAAAATCATTCGCAATTCTATATTCGAAAAAACACAGAAAATGATGAAGCCAGAGTGGTATTTGGTTGTCAGCAAAGCTTCTTCAAAAGCCAGGTTCGAATCTGTCAAAGTAATGGATTTTGTAATTTTAATCTGTATGTGGGATAGAGACACGTAAAAGACATCTGCCTGAAAATGCTATAGAAAACATGAGAGTAGAAAAGTGTTCATTTCCCCCCAGTATATTATCGACCTAACTTAGAATGAGTTTGGCAAAGTCTTAGTTTCATAACGGATAACCAAAACATGCAATCAATGACATGAAATGAGAAATCAAAGTCTCCCCGTATTTAATAACTCGCCATAAGCAATCACACACAGACACAAAAAAAGGTGATTTTCCTATGATATTTTTTAAGTTCTATGTCTGCTTCCAAGGATAATTTTCTTAGGAAACAGGATTAAGATTTAATACTCGAATGCTTAGCACATTTGCATTTTTAAAGACAGATACAATTTCATTATTAAGCACAGGTCAGAATTTAGGCCTTAAAAGAGGAAAGAATCACCTAAAGACATATTTTATCAATAAAAAATTCAAATTTTTATTGATAAAATATGTCTATGTAGAAATATGTAGAAATTGAAGGCCTGTGTGCTTGCCTCGGCAGTTTGTTAATCTTTCAACGTAATATTCAGAAGTTTGCTGAATTATCAGCGGTATCTTAGAACGCGGTGAGGTAGCTACGTTTAGAGAGCCTCGTAGTTAGTCACTTGTTATTAATCTCTTTTCAGTTTCTTATTTTTATTTTACCGCCGGGTCGGCGTAGTTTGTGAGCGTCAAGAGCACGCATTTGTAATTTCTAAAGTTGAATAAAAAGGGATTTAAACCCTTTTCAAGACTTTGTTTACTTTCTAGTTCTCACTATTGTTGCGTGCAGGTTGGAAGCGCGCAACATTACAAGTTAAATACTAAAAAAATGCTTTTAATCAGCAAACGTGTGCTAAACGTTGAACGTTGAACGTTGAACCATTTAGTTCGTTTATGGAAACCATTCTTTATCGTCCTCATAAAGCATTTATCTAAAAAGTAAATAGAACTTTTAAGATTAAAAACAATTATGCTCGATTAAAAAAAAACAACTAAGCGCTGTTTATAGGCTTTTTTAATACAGACATTACAAGTTCAGTATCATTCAAGTGATACAGTTTTCACTTTAATTGTACTGGAATTTTAAAGAATCTCTTGATTTTATTCCTTGATTTTAATATTTTTATTTTATTATAGCTATTTAAAAAAGAAGCAAATCTTCTTAGTTAAAAAAAATTAAAGAACTATTTTCTTCTTCCCTATCCATAATCCAGTAATATTAATTTTCGTAAGGGATTCATTGTTATAA